TGATATTTGAGACTTGTGTTGGAAATCTTATTTATGTTCTAATATATAAACATTGTATATGTTTTGGGGAAATTGAACTGTAATGGTTGGTGTTGAACAACTCGGTGTATTCTTGTTACAAGTTTGGATGATATATGAATTATTTTACTCTCAATGAATGTTAAATGATTTTAAGTTTTAGGGACAAAATTCCTTAAGGGGGGACATTTTAACGATTCTGGTTTAGACCCGACCCATTTCCTTCCTTTTGGATCCGAGAACCCATGTACTTAGTTGTTGTTCATTTCATTTCCATCTTGTTAATTGCTGACTGTGGCTATTGGGAGTTTTGGTTGCATTTGAAATAGGTTGGAAAGTTAGTTTTTCTATGAGTTGTTGCCCAAATTTTTGTCTGTTCGATCAAGCGGTATTTTTTGTGGTTACAGTGTCCTTTACAGGTCTGCAAAGCCACCATCCAGTGTCTTCACCAATGGTCTGACACGACCATACAGTGTCTCCTATCCTTTTTTATTTTTATGTATTTTCTTGTTTTGTTCCTCTCTTCAAACTCAAGTTGGTTAGTTTCTATCCTCCTTGAGTTTGCGGGGGGCTGTTAGAATTTACCATAAACCTACCACCACTACCACCTCACCTACTCCACTAAACCTAACCCACTACACCACTACCACCTCCACTTCACCTACTCTCCACCTACTTCCAAACACACTCCTATATAATAGGAATCCTTGTAATTGTAATATATACATCAACATATCAATCAATAATACAATTCTCTATTTCTCTTTATACATTAAATTTCTACACTTAGCATGTTTTTAAAATTAAACTATGGTTTGTAAAATATATTGACATTTAATTTTGATTTATACCTTTACTTTTGACATTAAATGTTAATTATAGGTTGAATCTTAACAAATTAAACCATTTAATTAATTTTACATTACTATAAATTAAAAATAAATATTTTTTTACAAGCGTACCAAGCCGTACCCGTATCCTACTTTTTTTTGAATTTTACCGTATCAACGTACCCGTATCGTACTAATACCAGTACTCATACCCGTACCCGTACCCATACCCGTGCTTCATAGATGAAGACACCGCAAATAACCCTTTCGGATTTAGTTACCACTGGCACCGACCTTCCTCACTACCCTTCATAGATACTGCCTGTGTCCCATTTTGTGTAGCATGGCTGACCGTGTACAGAGTTTAAGAACGGTTTCTTTTAATAAGACGATTACAAAAACACCATTGGTCCAGTTTGAATAGCTTTTTTAGAAAATTAATAATGTACTGAAATGCAAACATAAAGAAGGGTAATAAAAGAAATGATTAAATTTTCTAATTTTGAACTTTGAAAAGTAAAATGGGATTTTACCAAAAATGGAAGGTGAGACACATGAATGGAAAGGGAGTAGTATAATGGACCAGACACTAGCCTCTATATGCAGAAATAAGCAACAAATTCACTTCAAAAGGGCACTTTCCACTATTTTAAGATAATTATTCTAAGATTCTTGCACAACTTCATACTCAAAGCCCCTCACGGTGCCCTACAGAAGGCTATATACTATGGCCTTACAACATCATAACAGTGCCAGATTAATACACCAGCAACCTGAAATTCGGTCATCATGAACTATGTTATACTCTTACATAACTGTCCCACCCAGAGTTTTGTAAGATCATTTCACTGATTGATAGTATTAAAGCATTTTGCTTCATGAGAAAGCAATATAATTATGTAAAAAGAAGCGCCAAGGGGAAACAAATTAAGGGGTTGTTTGGAATGACCTAAATAAGTGTACTTTTTGTTTTTTTACGAAAAGATGTGCAGAAAAGTAGAGAGGTGATGTGATGAAAAAAAGATAAAAAGATAAAAAGATAGATTATTTTTAGGTTTCCAAACTTGGCCTAAATTTCCATTTACATTCAATTCTACAAAAATTGAAATGAATTGTACAAAAGTAGAGGACCAAGTTCATTCCACAAAATTTGTTGGCAAGAAAAGATCTTAGAATCTATTTCCTTTTTTTTTTTTTAAACAAAAAATAAAAAATGGTCCAGCGCAGCCACATACAAATAAATAAATAAAACTTCAAAAAATATGTTGTTGCAAATAAAAAAAAAGACACCAATTTATGTAATAATAAAAATAAAAGATAGAAATACGTCAATGCCAAGTAAATTAATTTCCAATGAAGAAATTTGGTAAGGACAGATATATGTACCTGTGCTTCAAAAGTGAAACTTTGCTTTTTGAATGAATCATTATCATAGGCGGAAGTATTTGAACTACATGATAATTCTTTCATACAATCTGGATTCTTTTCATCACTATTAGAAGAAAAGTTGTCCAGCAACAAAATTTCAACACCATCTTCAAGGGAGACCGAGTAGCTGCTATCATTATTCAAGTAGGTATACTTCCTCAAAAGAGAACCATTCTGAAGAATGAACCAAAAAAAAAAAAAAAAAGGATCAACTAATATAAGTGGATATTTAAAACAGTGAGGGCCATTTATACTACAATAAGTCATGAGCAACCTCATACTTCAATGCCAACGACAATCATTTGTTCTGAACTAACATAAGTGGATATTTAAAAGAATGTGGATAAATAGCATTATTTTCTTTAAAAAATTCCAAAACCAAATGCAGCTCATAAAAATTCTAATTCAATGTGATTGGAAGGATAATTGATAAAATGGGTATACATAAAACCACAATTTGAAACCCTCCTGGCAAAAAAAAACAAAAAAAACAAAAAAAGAACGGAAAAATAAAGCCCACCGTAACATAAAGGATTGGAGGAAGATAAACTCCACAATAAAAATCTTGCACTGTGGCTCTCCATGTTGAAACCCGAAACTTAAAACAAATAACCATCCACAGACCAGTAAGGCCTTTTTAATAGACCCTCAAGATTAACTAAACAAAAACAAAGCAAAACTATAAGGACATAGGAATTTGGACACTTAGGAAGAAATAAAGGGTGGCCCATTGCATGAGACTCCCACTAAAGTAGGCTCTAGGGAGGACAAGATGTACGCAGCCTTAACCCCCATTTTTGAGAGGTCGTTTATGTGACTCAAACCCACACCACAAGCGAAGCTAACGGCAAGCCTTACCGTTGCACCAAGCCTTACCAACGGAGACTGCATTGCAGTTTGGCGGGTGCATGAAAGATAAAGTAAAAGGATTAGCAGAGGGCATAAAGTTCAGAGGAACAGATGAAGAGCTCATTGTTCAGGTTTCAGAAGACAAGGAAAAGTAACAAGCCATCACTCATTTATAAACAGGAAACACTGGAAAAACAGTTATTTTTAATTTGTATTATTAAACAAAGCAAGTGGAACGAGAGAAATCTAACTATAGGCAATAGTAGCACCACCACAAAGTAGAACAAACAACATATCGAGCATATTAACACAGTTTTCATGACACAAAGCTCAGCATATTGTCCAAGAACATAAGTCTATTACCTACCCAAAATGATTCCACACTCATATTATGGCAAATTGAAGCAAACACGGCATGTAATGGATCTCTCTCTCTCTCTCTCTCTCACACACACAGACACACACACACACACAAGCCTGTTGTTTGCTATTGAGAGTTAACCCTAATTAGAATATTTTGTCATGGATGGCGATAAAAGTTGTTTAAAGCATTAACATAAACAAGTAAAGAAAAAAGGTGCAAGATGGGTACCTCAATTTTCACATTTACAAATCGTAACCTCTTTCCACGTCCAAGGATGATGATAGGTCGAAATTTTGATGAATGGACTTCCTTCAAATATGGTTCTTCACTTAAGTGAATAGTCTTTCCACAACCATTATATGTATATTCATCAACCCCTAAGGCATCTGCAACTAACTGTCTATTTGGTGACAAGTGCATTATATCTTCAATCTGTTCGTAAACAGGAGCAGAGAGTACTATGCTGTTGTTTCTACGTGTGGGATCATTCTTTGGATCCATCAATTCCTCCCTCCCTGTTATTGCTCCCAAGGAAGGAACAAAATACTCACCAACAGCAAGAAGAAAATCTGGAACGACAAGAACACGTGGCTGCTGAATCCGGAACACAAATGATTGTGATGACAATCGCCATCTATAATCCATTAAGAACATAGTTGAAGTTAGAACATCGATGCCTGGTGCAGCTTGAGAGTCCATTCTCATAAAGCCACCTTTATTTAACGAAAAAGGGAATTTCCCAGTTGAAGCTTGTTTTGGAACATCAGTACAGGATCCAAGCATCAACCGCATTTCAGGTTTGGTATCAGGGCGAATATCCAGAACATAAAATCTGGGAATGGTCACATAAAGGTCTGCTTCTGATAAAGAAGTCATCCAGTATGATACCCAAAGACCTTCTAGCTGCAATATGAAGAAACAAGTAAAATGAGTTCACACTGCTTCATGTTAGAAATAAGCATGTAAACTGTGAATATAGAAGAACTGACCCTCATGAAGAGAGGAAATTTTAAGATCAGAGATTCAGTTAAAAAAATTGATACTCACAGCAACATGAGCCAGAGGTGAATCCTCATGAACGCCACTACACAACTCTAGCAATGCATGGTCCACTTCCATTTCTATTATTGTAACAGTATGCGAGAGTAAGATTTGACTATTGATATTGACCTTATCAGCTAGCAACCGCATTGTCTCTTTTGAACCAGACTTGCTTCCACGAAAACTTGGAGGAAGCTTTGGTTGTTCAGATAAGTTCATGTAGAAACAATCCAGAATAACATTATACTCTTTATCAGACATCACAGCATGCAGTAAACCCACCTATCAAAATGTTCGTAGGAATCAACTAAAGGTCCTCATAGTTCATATGGATAAGTAACTGATTGGAAGCATAACAAAGGAATTAGACCGAGGCTATTAAAGTTAAAGAAGAAAACTAGCCATTATAAAGTAAGAAATCCTGATAAAATTAAATAAATAAGAACGAGAAATTTGAAAATAAACAATAACCAACACCAACTCACTTTTGTGGTTCCACAATTTCAAAAAGCAAAGTAAAACAACACTTTAAGTCAACGGCAAGAATCAAATGCCTAATCCCATCCATTTGTTCAAATGCCATACTAGCCCCTAAACATTGCCATAATGGCTTTAGCCAAAGTTAAAGCATGTCTGGACTAAAAAAAATGGTTGAGAATAGGGTATTGAATTCGAAAAACTGAGGTTTTACAATTATAAGGTCTTTTTAAAATACAAGATAAAAAAGTTAATTTAAAACCCATAATATAAATATTATATGTTACTAGTGTGACATCAACGCCTGAGTTGAATATTGTTATAACTGTAACTGGAAATATACATATATTATATATAGGAGTGGACAAAAAAAATTTGAAAATGTAGGACGTGACACATAGGGTACATGTGCAAAACATATAATTTTATATATTTATTACATTTCCTATATTTGAATATTATACATTTATGCCGTGTTAAATATTTATTCTCATCAAATTCATCAACCTGGGTATGCTACCCCGATGAATTATATATATATGTATAATGGAACAACATGTCACCATGTCCCAAACGTGTCCTAGTGAAAAACAAAATAGGACACTTCCTACAGCATGTTTGACTTGTGTTCAAAGCGTGCCCGGCACATGTCCATGTCTGACACATGTCAGCCACCAATATTTGGCCTGTGGAGAGGTGTTTGTGCTTCAATGTTCTCAAATGTTTCTAACATATCAATCTTATGTTAAGTAGTGATGAGAGCATTTAATCAGCACTGGTCCACTAGAGTGTCCATAAGCACATCTATCTCACCAGTTGCAGCTTTCCCTGTGTGTGTTATATAATGAAAAATCACTTCTAAGAATGTGTTGTGTCCGTATGTGTCGAACACCAAAACACACGACACGTGTCCTACTATTATTATTATTTTTTTAAAATTTAATCAGGCCAGAACATGCTTCGGACACTTGGGAGTTGGGGAACACATGTATCCAATGTTTAGATGTGCATAAAACACATTTCAAATTTGAACAAAATAATTTAGAATCCAATGAAAAAATAATAATGTAGATTTATACGTATTAATCTATCCTTTTTAGAAAACTGGGTTATTTTGTATATTTTTATTATCTTTAAATAAATAATTATCATATAATAAACATCAAAACTATATATTTTGAGCATCTCCAATGCGCCATGTTGTGCATTTTTTGAAAATTACTGCAGCGGCATGTCTGTATTGTGTTATTCAACCTTGAAGTTATATTAGTCATAAGCATCAACGCATTTAGTGGAGGAGAGACTGGAAGACAAGCTTGCTTAACTTAATCAAGCTTATGATTATGTTAAGCGCTGACTGAGACATTTAATCAACACTAGACCATCACTCTGTGTGTGCGTGTCCGTGCCGATACTAAACCTTGCAGGTTTCTTATTTTTAACCAAAGAGAACATTTATGCCCATTTGCTACAAGATATGGAAAATTGAAACGAAGGTAAGCAGGGTGGAAAAGTAACTCGAGCAAAATAAAACAGCAGTGTTTTCCATTAAATCAGTCTGCCGACTCATACTGCACCACCCTATGCTGCATGAATATATGAAAACAAGATGTGGGCGCCAGCTGAAAAATGCCAAAAATATTAGTAATGATTGGATAACCTTGGCTCATGAAGTAGAGGGAAGACTAAAAGACAAGGCAGCTTAAGATTATGTTTGTTGACAGAGGTAAATAGTAGACCATCCATAAGCACATCCATATCACCACTTGTCCCCCTTCCTGTGTGTGCCTATGCATACTGAACCTTAAGGTTTATTAGTCAAATAGTGAATCTCTTTTTCATAACCAAAGAGAACATTTATGCCTCATTTTCTAGAAGATATCGAAAATTGAAAGGAAGAAGGTAGGTGGGGCAGAAATGTAACCTTTGGAAACAAAACCATCTTCATTCCCATCTATTTGGTTGAGTAACGGAAATGAACATGGAAAGAAGTGTAACTTTATTTTACCATCATACCATTACATCTTACCACAAGAGGGTTATTTAAGGCAGCAAAATTGCAGTAGAATATCATCCTTTCCCTCTTCTTTGTCCCCCCCTTTTGGGCAGAAGGAAACTGCAGGTACAGGGGTAACTTCCTTACCCTTCCCCTTTCTTTCCAAAGAAAGGCTAACAGGGCAACTCGAAATGCCAGATTATCTTTACTCAGAAGGACGTTGATGATTCGAGTAAAGATTACATGGCAACTCAAAATGTCAGATAACATGGCAATTTGGCTAAATGTTTGGCATATGGTTTCCGGTTCAAACGATGCAGTTTTAAGATAAGATTTTTATTGTAAACTCACGAGGATATATAGTTTCCCACTTTTGAAGATTGTCGGCTTGTTTGGTTTATATCTCAATATACAATTTTTGAGAAAAAATTTCAAAATTTTGTTTGGTTCAAATTTGTTGAAAAAAAATTCCAAAATCACTTTCTCTCATCTACACATCAATCAATCACTTTTTCTCTCTCCTCTCTCATTCTCAATCACTTTTTCTCTCACACACATCTACTCGTCTACAACTAAATATCAAATCATCCCAAACTCTAAAACAATTTTCAAAATATACAACCAAACAAACCAAAAAAAATTCTAAACTCTCTCCAAATTTTTTTTTGAAAATTTATCTCAAAACACAAACCAAACACACCCTGCGATTTTTCGATATTTATGAATTTTGGAAAATCATTATGACTCCTCATTCAGGTTGATGTTTCCACTTGTCAATCAACAAATGGCTCAAATGCTATATTAAGGGGGTATGGTGTGCTACTACCTGCCTCCACACCCAGAGTGGGCCTGATGTGGGCAACCTCAAGGGAGCTCCATGGACAGTGTCTGTGAATTATGTAGTTTATATTATTCATTAAGGATAGTTTAGTACTTTAGTTTAGTACTTTAGGTTGTTAGGGTTTCATTCTATTACTTATATATTTTGTACTTCTTTTGATTAATCAATGAACACAAGTTTTGTCATCTGTTAACATGGTATCAGAGCTAAGTTTCAAACATTAGCATACCTGTCGCAGTCGTTCTTCGCAAGGTTGTCGCAGCTCTTTCTTCCTTTTCGCAAGGCTTCGTTGCAAGGCTTCGATGATCTGTCGCATTCGTAGGTCATCACCGAAGCAGTTGGTTCTGGTTCAATCGAAACCCTAGGAAGCCGTCATCGCTGGTTTGTGGTCCTTCGTCACTGGTCTCTGGTCCATTCGAAGACCTAGGTTGGGTATCTCACTGATCTATAGTCCTTCATCGCTAGTCCATTTGCCTTCATCGCTGGTCTCGATCTTTGTCTGGTTCAGTTGAGGACGAGGACCAAACATCGCTACTCTTCACAGGTTGAGCATCTCTCTCTCTCTCTTCTCTGCTGCCTTTTACTCTGTTTTGAATGCACTATAGTTTGGGTATACAATATGGCTAATGATAAATTGTAAGCTATTACTACTAAATTAGATGGTACCAATTATTCTTATTGGTCTCATGTGATGAAAAATTTTATAATGGGTAAAGGTATGTGGAATTATGTTATTGGTGTAACTATTAGACCTGTGGAATCTCAAGAAACTGTGGCCGATGTTGCTAAATGGGATAAGGAAAATGCACAAATTCTTACTTGGTTTCATAATTCAGTTCAAACTACCATTGGTATGAATTTTTCCAAGTATTCTACTTCTAAACAAGTTTGGGACTATTTGAAGACTATGTACCTTGAGTCTAACTTTTCAAAACAGTATGAACTTGAGATGTCTATTCGCAGTGCTAGTCAGAAAGATAAGTCCATTCAGGAGTTCTACAATGAGATGACTACTTATTGGGATCAGCTTGCCTTGATGGAACCGTCCGATTTGCAGTTACTTGACAGTTATATCAAGTATCGGGAGAAACAACATCTTGTTCAATTTCTCATGGCCCTTCGTGATCAATTTGAGCCACTTTGGGGAGCTATTCTTCATCGGTCTCCCTTGCCTTCTGTGGATGGTGCTGTCGGTGAGCTTATTGCGGAAAAAACTCGGTTTAAGGTGGCTCATGGTACTCCTGCTTCCCAGTCAGTTTTTGCCACTCCTCCGCTCTTGCCCACCCCATCTTCTCATTTATTTCAAGTTACTGGTAAGCCCAAGCCTCGGGTTTCCATGGATGAGTGCAGCTTCTGTCATCAGAAAGGCCATTGGAAACATGCATGTCCTAAACTTTTGCAGCCCAAGGGTCGTTCATCTGGTTCACCATTCGCTAAGCCGATATTTTCAAGATCTCGCTCATCTGCCGCCTTTTCTGCACCAGTTTCTGAGAATGATCCATCTTCCAATATGCAGTCTATGTTTGAGCAGTTCAAGTCTTTCATGGTGGCCAATCCAAATCTTTCGTCCCAAGCCTCCGCTATGACTACCACTCAGTTCGGTTTGTCTGGTTCATCCTCTTCAGATAATATCTATACTTCGTGGATCTTTGATTCTGGTTGTTCACATCATATGACCCCGGTTGCATCTCTCCTCAGTAATTGTGTCTCTCCTTCTTCTTCTATCCCTATTGCTACTGCTAATGGTTCTTCTATGCCTGTACACTCTGTTGGTTTTATTTCTTGTTCCCATTTGTCTCTTTCTCCTGTATTTTATGTGCCTAACCTCTCCCTCGGTCTTATTTCTATTAGTCAATTATCTGATTCCAGTTTTGATGTTGTTTTCTCTTCTTCTCATTGTGTTGTACAGGACCGGGTATCCAAGAGGCAGATTGGGATCGGGCGTAGAGTTGGAGAGCTTTATATCTTGGATAGCTTACATGTTCCTCTAGAAGTGTCTTCTACTGCATTGTCTTCTTTTTGTTTAAACAATAAGTCCTCTTTGTTTTATATTTGGCATTCTAGGTTAGGTCATCTGTCGAGTGATCGGTTGAGGATGTTAGTTAGGTCTGGACATTTAGGCAATTTTCCCATTAGTGATATTTCTGAGTGTCGTGGTTGTAAACTGGCTAAAATATCTGCTCTTCCTTTTAATAAAGGTAGTTCTATTTCATCTTCTCCTTTTCAATTGGTCCATACTGATGTTTGGGGTCCTTCCTCTATAGTTACCAAGGGTGGTTCACAATATTATGTAGCTTTTGTGGATGATTACAGTCGGTTTACTTGGGTTTATTTAATGACTCGAAAATCTGATTTTTACAAAATATATTCTAATTTTCACTCCATGATTCGCACTCAGTTTTCTACCACCATTAAAATTCTTCGTTCTGATTTGGGGGGTGAGTATTACTTGTCTGAATTTGAGGAGTATTTAGCTATTCATGGAACTATTCATCAGTCTTCGTGTTCTGACACTCCTGCACAAAATGGTCGAGCTGAGCGCAAACATCGCCATCTCCTTGATACAGCTCGCTCTTTGTTGCTCTCATCTTTTGTCCCTTCTGTTTTCTGGGGAGAAGCTGTGCTCACTGCTGCATATCTTCTCAATCGGATGCCTACTCCTCTTCTCTCAGGCTCATCTCCGTATGAGAGTCTTTTTGGTGTTACTCCCAATTATTCTCTTCTTCGCATTTTTGGTTCTGCGTGCTTTGTGCTCCTTCCTAAACGGGCGCGCTCCAAGCTTAGTTCTCGTTGTGTCCTATGTGTCTTTTTAGGGTATGGCATTAATCAGAAAGGTTATCGGTGCTATGATCCTGCCACCAAAAAGCTATATGTGTCTAGGCATGTCACTTTTTTAGAAAAACTACCCTACTATACTATACCTTCCACCCCTGTTCCTATTACTAAGGATGAATTGGTTCATGTTGACCCATTTCCTCCTAATGTTTCTCCTGATGAGTTTGTTTCTGACCTTGAGGTCTCTACTTTGCCTCTTACTAGCACTTCTAATACCTCTCCAGCTACCTCATCTCCAGCTCCCGCTTCTCCTGCTCCCACTTCTCCTGCTCCTCTTATTGTTTATCAACGCCGCAAAGCACTTCCGAGCTCACCTGTCTCTAGCTCTACTGTCCCTCCAGCTGTTTCTTTGGATCCCGCTCCTTCTGCACATCGCTTCCCAAAGCGAGATCGTCATCCTCCGAACTGGTATGGTTTTGGTAATACATGTTTTTCCCTTTCCTATCAGTCTTTTCTTTCTTGTCTTCATACATATTTTGAGCCCAGGTCTTACAAGGAAGCTTGTCATGATCCCAATTGGATTGCTGCCATGAATGATGAGTTAACTGCTTTGGCTAACACTCAGACTTGGGATTTGGTTCCATTACCTACTGGTAAGAATATTGTGGGTTGTAAATGGGTCTATAAGGTCAAAACCCTTTCTGATGGGTCTTTGGAACGGTACAAAGCTCGTCTAGTTGCCCAAGGCTTTTCTCAGGAGTATGGGATTGATTACGATGAGACTTTTGCCCCTGTTGCCAAGATGACTACTGTTCATACTCTTATCTCTGTTGTCGCTGCCCATCATTGGCCCCTGTTTTAACTAGATGTCAAAATGCTTTTCTGAATGGACATCTTGCTGAAGAAGTGTATAGGCGCCCTCCACCGGGTCTCTCTCACCCTCCTGGTGTTGTTTGTCATCTTCGCCGTGCTCTATATGGTCTCAAGCAGTCTCTTCGTGCTTGGTATGAGCGATTTCACTTTGTTGCCCTTCAGCTTGGTTTTCACCCTAGTCATCATGATTGTGCTCTCTTTGTTCGGCACACTTCTGTTGGGCTTGTTCTCCTTCTCTTATATGTGGATGATATGATCATCACTGGCTCTGATTATAGTATTATTGAGGAGGTTAAGCATCAGTTGTTTCAGAAGTTCGAGATGATGGATTTGGGGTTTTTTCGGTATTTTCTTGGTATTAAGGTTGCTACTTCTCCTACTGGGTATCTTCTCTCTCAGACTAAATATGCCCGTGATATTCTTTCTCGTGCCAATCTCACTGATGAGAAAATTGTTGACACTCCTCTTGAGTTGCATGCTAAGTTTTCTACTTCTGATGGCGTTCCTCTTGAGGATCCCACTTTGTATCGCGAGTTGGTTGGGTGCTTTGTTTATCTCACCGTTACTCGTCCGGATATCTCCTATGCTGTGCACATTCTCAGTCAATTTGTTTCTGCTCCTCGTTCCACACACTGGGCTGCCTTACTTCGTACTTTGCGCTACCTTCGTGGCACTTTGTTGCAATGTTTACTGTTATCTGCCTCTTCGGACTTGACTCTCCGTGCCTATGCTGACGCTGATTGGGCAGGTGACATCTCTGATCGCAAATCCACTTCTGGTCTTTGTGTTTTCCTTGGCGATTCCCTCATATCCTGGAAGAGTAAGAAGCAGTCTGTCGTTGCTCGTTCCACTGCTGAGGCTGAGTATCGTGCCATGGCTCATGCTACTTCCGAGATCGTTTGGCTTCGCTGGCTTCTTTGTGATATGGGTGTCTCTCTTTCTGATCCGACTCCGTTGTATTGTGATAATCAAAGTGATGTCCAGATTGCCCATAATTTCGTCTTTCATGAGCGGACCAAGCATGTTGAAATCGATTGTCACTTTGTCAGACAGCATCTTCAGGCTGGCACTATTACTCTCCCTTTTGTTTCCTCATCTCTTCAATTGGCCGATTTTTTTACGAAGACTCATACTGTTGCTCGTTTTCATTTTCTTCTTGGCAAACTTTCGATGCTTTCTGCGCTCGCATCCTCAGTTTGAGGGGGGGTGTGAATTATGTAGTTTATATTATTCATTAAGGATAGTTTAGTACTTCAGTTTAGTACTTTAGGTTATTAGGGTTTCATCCTATTGCTTATATATTTGTACTTCTTTTGATTAATCAATTGACACAAGTTTTGTCATCTGTTAACATGGTATCAGAGCTAAGTTTCAAACATCAGCATACCTGTCGCAGTCGTTCTTCGCAAGGTTGTTGTCGCAGCTCTTTCTTCCTCTTCGCAAGGCTTCATTGCAAGGCACCATTTCAAATTGAAAAGTAGAAGAAGATGGGCTTGGAGCAGATGGAAGAATAAAAGAACATATTCTTGAATGTCATTTTCATGGAAGAATACGTTCGTGAAGGTCATTTTCTTCTTCCTCTAGCGCATTTCTTTCTTATATTGAATACTCATCAAATAAAAGAACACTCCTCTCCCTTCTCTTCCACTTCAAATTGACAGACCTCACTTTGTCTCCATTCCTATTTCTATCTTCACTTACTGATGGAACCAAATCAAGAAAGAGACTTCTTTAGAGAGAGAGAATCCCAAAATGGGTACAAGAGCTCTCAAGCTCTGAAATATTCAATATCAAGATATCATTAAATAAATACCAAAGGGGCTTAACGACCTAATTATAGGATAAAAGACCCAGCTAACTCTAACTCTTATGGTACTAAAACATAACAACCATACTAATTCTAACTACGTCACTTACAGCCATCTGCAGAGATACCATACATTCCAAGCACAAGTTGAGATCGTAAACTAAACATGTGTGTCCATGTCAATTCCAGGGTAGGCCTTGTCCAACAAAGTTAAATCTTGTATCCACTTATTATACATCTAAACTAAGGATGCATGTAAACGTGAGGATGAATGTAGGGGTCAGAGAGTTTAAATTGACGTTCTTGCATTTCTTGCTAATATGCACATGAGAAGTCAATGATAAGAGTCCATCCCAAGGAACAAAATAGAAATCCATGTATCCATGCAAATGCCCCAAATCATAAAGATTGCTAAATCCAAACGATGGAAGAAGAAAGAATGGCAAAATCAGAAGTAGATCTCCCGTCACAGAAATTACCTTCACTCCTAATGAAAATGTTGGAACTTTCCGAAAGACATCCCTCAAACTACGCCGTACATTAACATTAATTCCTTGTCCGTCCCGTATCATTGGCTTACCAATACAACCAATGATTCCTACGGCCATGTTGATTCCCAAAATCTACAATATTACAGCTGAAGTAAACATTACTTCACTACTTCAAGTTTAATGTCTGAACCAAGACTTCAAACAGAAAGAAATACCTCTGCATCAAGAACATCAAGATGGACGGCTGAAGGATCTTTCTCTGGGCATCCATGCCAACTAAATTCATTTCTCACTTGTAGATGACCCAGATCAAGTTGCATGAAATTGCAACAATAAATACAAAAAAGTGAATCAATACCCAGTAATACTTAATATTAAAGATATATCTTAGTTGCACGAAACAGAAGCGCAGGGATAGGGGAGCGAGGGCTCATAAAGGTGTCCAAAGTTGGGAATGCCTAAATATATTAGTATATTGTAAGAATTTTTTTTTGCTTAGTTGTACTAAATATGTGAAATTATGAATAAATATTGGAGAATCTTGTCAAGTTTTCAACTGAAAATTGTTATTATTGTAAATATAAAAAATAATAAATAAATAAATTGTAAATACAGAGTAGTAGTATAAATTTAAGTTAATTTTTTCCTTCTAATGGTTGCAATACATTTTCTCTTGCTTGATAACTGTTCTTTTTGTTTCTTTGGGATTCATATGTTCGAGAAGTTTCATCTCAGTTGAGAACGTGGTTCTTTCTTGATGGGAACGAGATTCTTACTTGATTGATTCTTACTCTGAAACACAATTCTAGAGCAGATTTGTCACCCCCAAGTAGGAGGTTCCTACAACTATGAGCTATATACTACTAGGAAAACAATACTTTTTTCCACATTATGAATGTGACTTAGTTTTTGAAAGTGACTTAGTTTTTGAAAGTAACAAAAGAGAAGGGTAAATATAACCAAAAGTCAACCTCAACAAATTGAAGGAACATCTCAATTGATGGGAGCAACAAGACAGTAAAACAGAATAAATTCCAGGAATCATTTGCAAAAAAATAAAAATTTGGAGAAGACGAGGAAGAAGAAAAACAAAAATGACTACATTTAAGAGACATGTCAGAACTATTTAGATACCAAACCAGCATAAGTCTCATATAATGTCTATTTTCCCATCCCACAAAGCATTCAAATATGTTTTTATACAAAACATCCAGTTAGATAATTTTATGTAATTTTTGGACCCAGCAAGACGCATGTCCCAAAAGGATAAAGGTACGAAGAGAACACAAGTACACAAGGAAGAGTGTTCTGACACAAAAGTGAGTATGCATGAAAAGGGAAAGATCAATGTTTCACATTTAGCTTATTCTATATATAAACATATATACGAACTTATTAAACCAACTTTTAAAGAAAAAATCCATATTTAGCACATTTGAAGAAACATCATGCTACTTCTAAAGCTATCACTTATATGAAGGCTCAACAGCTCATTGACCAAGTGACAATTCAACCTTTTAGAAATATGTCCATAGTAACTTCAACACAACAATAAGACCACAAGTTTAAGTATCTAGACCAGTATCACTTTGGAAACAAACAGCAGGTTACGTATTTGACAATTCATTTGGAGAAAAACAGATGTATATTTATTTCAGCCATGCGCGCGTGCGCGTGCACATGCACACACACCCAAAATAAAATAAAATAAAGTAAGAAAGTTTCATTCAAACCAGCATTTTGCAAAAATATCTACAGCAAACATGATAACTCTTCAACATTTTTTTTCCATTTTTACAAATAAAATTTAAGGATTCACACCTTACAAACAGCATCCAGACTGTAAAAATATATTGAACACCTTAAAATCATTATACACAAAAAAAATGTTTAAGGTTCTGTTTGCCTCTTCCATTTGAAGAAGAATATAAAAACCTGCAGTTTTTTCCATGGCCTTACGGCTGGACCGGGTCCGGGTCGGTAACCCTTATCTTTTAAATTATTTATCAAAAAAAAGGAACTTTTCAAGATCAATAAAATTCTATATATCACCTTATATGCACAAACTTATTATTCCTTTGCTGCCAAAAAAACTAAGAAGAACCAAATTAACCAACTGAATACTAAATGACGTGAATTTCTTTGAGAAATACAGACTCTGTACGCATGGAATTTCTTGGTACGATTATTATTGGAGTATCGAGTGAAAGGTCCAGCTTCAATGCTGAGGATCCATCAATCTCATATTTATTAATCAGCCACTCAAAGCCTCCAACTTTATCAACAAGTTTAATTGCTTCTTCAGTATGCGGGGTTGCAAGTTCCATAAAGTAGGTAGTTATCTGCAGAAGCGTGTATCAACATCTTGTGTCAGAAATTCACAACATTGAAACAAGAATTGAACCCAAGAAGTAACAAAAACAAAATCAGTTCAACTAACACCAACAATGAAAAAAACCAGTTATATGAAGTCTAAAAACTACGGACACTACTATAGAGGAGGGTTGTTGTGTCAGACACCTGTGTTAGACACGACACTCTGTGGACACTCAAACAAAGCAAGTCCGACATTTCTTCAATGTGTCTTAATTAAAAATGTAAACTCATAATATCGGACACTTTACAGACAATTCTCGTACACTTCTTAAAACCTCCAAACACAACCTATGTGATGAATCAATTCATAGTAATAATGTTATGTAGTCTTTGAAATGCAACTTATTCACTCTAAATATGTTTTGAAACACTTTATAAGATAAATACATTATGTGCATTTTTATATTCTATAATTATTTTGCATTATTTATATTATAATTGTTACATGAATGATATTTTGATGTTTAAGTTAATTTTAATTAGTGTTACGTTGTTTATTTTTTTCATTACCTCTCAATAAACTATTTGTATATATCACATATAATAAATTTATAAAAATATAAATTTTTAATGTGTCCTAGACGTGTCGTGTGGTGCATTTTTTTAAATTGACGTGTCGGCATGTCAGTGTCGTGTCCATATCTTGTCATGCGCCCCGTGTCTATGCTACTTAGTATGAAGTAAATGAACAAGAAAGTTGATTAGTTCACTCATGACCAATGCTATATGTGCACCAGCAGCTTCACCAATATTAACATTAAGAAGAGTTTCCATTTTTAACAGCATCAATCAGACTTACCTCCTGAACAAACCTATAGAGGAAGACAATGCGAACTGCAGAAACTCGGCCTTGCAAGCTGTAATCATATCCTTCATAATCGTCATCTTCAGCACTATAAGAATTGAAAGTAAACTGAGAAAGAGAGAGAGAGCAATATTAGAACAATGAAAAAAAAATGACAAAATATAAACATAATAGATAAGAAACCTGTTAGGCATCAGCCTCTAATCAAACAAATTAAAAGGTACCTTGATAAGAGATTCAGCCCCCTGATTGCGTATATCACAAAGCCACCCCCAACAGTGGTCCATTCCAAGAGACATATCACAGAGCCTGAAATTTCCTAATGTGCCTTCAATTGATATAGAACTAGGATGAAGCTGAAAGAATTAAATAAACTCTATCAGACATTGAAATTTACACCAGAATGATAGGCTCAAATTCATGGAACAAAACACACGCCAACAAAAATGCAGACGACAAATTAATTCCCTAAAACAAGTGAGCAGATGACAGATTAATTCCCTAAAACAAGCGAGAATGTTTCATTCAACAAGAATACAAAGTGTTGGGCTTCTCTCAAGTTTTGAACTTGAGTAGTAGGACCCACCATGGGTCCCATCTCGATGTTCATTTTTTAGGGCCCTTCCTAAAATTAAGTCGATCCGATAATCGTACCTATTTTTTTTTCATGGACGATATTCACGGAGGAACCTACAAGATGAACGGTTCGGATCCTTGAGAGGGGCCCGTGGGCACAAGTTCTCTCAAGTTCAGATTTGCACTTGAGAAAAAGCTCAACCCAAAAAGATGCAAGTGATTTGGGTTTGAGAAGACTGAATATATTACATTTAAAAGTAAAACATATAATTCTTTGAAAATAACATTTTATATCTCAAATTTTCACTTCAAAATTAAAGTCCTTGGTTGAAGACATGAAAGCAAAAATTCAGAAAGCCTTCTACAAATTTAAAATAAAATTCCAGAATCCTCTTTAGTCATGGAAATAGCATTATTGAAGGTTGTGTAGCCAAATACTTCAAAGGAGCTTTCAGAAAGGCAATAATTGGAGTCACACATCATATAGCGGCAATAAAAGATTGGATAATTCATAATTCATAATTCGTAGGTAAAACAGAGATAAAAAAAGACATGAGATGATATACAACTTGAGATTCGTAAAGTAGAAAATTTGGCTAAAACATTTGGTTTCCTTTTTGACTTGTCTATTAAGCAATCAGAAAATACAGAAAGGCCCCAAAGTAATCACTCACAATATTATGTTTTGAGCAACCCACAAGATTGGATTAGTCACATCATCCACAAGAAACAGAAAACAACCAGCCCAGAGTGAATCTAAGGAGTTGTTTGATAAGGCTCAAGATTAAGTACTGAACTAAATTTTTTTAAATGAGCCATTAAAATCTAAAATTATTGATTAAAATTGAACTAAACATCGACCAATAGTCTGTTAAGCATTTAATCATGAGTAAGGGATCTGTGAATTAAGCATTATCAAATGCTTTTAACAAAATCCAGATCAACTATAAAAATTCAGATCAATGCACTTGAAGGGTCATCAAAATACTCTTAAGCCTTTGGGAACCAACTAGAATAAATTGTCCCCCAAAGACTTAATTGAATCACGCACCACCTAATACTAAACAAAGGCTCTAGAATACAGTTAAAACTTACAGCAAAGCAAAACCAACTTCTACACTTACTAAAAGACACAGAAACACAGTTATAATAAGAAGAACAACAATCAACTATAAAGGACCTTATTAATTGTGACTGCAAATGAATTATTGGAATACAAAATTAGAGTATTAAAAAAAAAGCCTATAATTTTTATGAATTGGAACCATATCTTTTCTATTTTTGTTTAACCAATTCATATCTACAAAACTGATTAACTGAATGGAAAAGAAAAATAAGGATAACAAAGTGGAATTAAACTGTTCTACTCACCTTGAGATCCAACACAAAACTCTCTTGCACAAACATTGCAAGCTGAGAATCATCCTCTTTATTTAGAAACACGGACACACTGTCAACATCCATGTTCAAATAGAATACTATACGACCTTTACCATATCCCAACAAGCCTTTAACCAAAGCATGCCCAGTTTCTTCTGTCTCGTCTTTGTTCACTAAAGATTGATCATCTGAAATTGTTGTCACGCTTGTATCACTTGTCCCAATACTTGCAGAGCTTAGATTGAAGCCGAAACCAATTAAAGCAACAACAGTGGGTCTGTTGCAAAAGAATTCCAATTTCGACATGCGAATGCTCATCTGGAAAAAAATATTTATTGAATTAATTAACATTGCTTAGTAAGGATATGGATTTCTTAGTCCAATTTTTTTCTCAAATACCTGTGTATCTATACCATCATAATCAGGTGAACTAGGATTCCTTGTCAAGTATGTAACAGATACAAAATCAGAGTTGTCACTGCCCTCTGCTTCATAAAAAACATCACCAGTTGTGCTTCTACCTTTTCCCATCTCCTTCTCACGAACTAAGTCTCCAACAGAATCAAACTCAGCATATTCACTAATATCACCTGATCTTGAGGCAAAAGCCATATCAAAATTTTGTGAGTAATCAGGCAAAGACATGAAATCGGGCGAAGCATCCTTGAAAATATCATCCTCCTCTGAGATTACTGCGGGCACCTCCTTCACCAGAGGATCTAAAGTGCTAGGGGAAGCAAATAAAGGGTCATTCTTCAGCACAGAGCAGGCTAAATACTTTGGACCTGAAGATAAAGATCCTTGAAGCTCATCTTTGATTTTCAATGAATGTAGCTTCATCTTGACGGTCAAATCACCTTCCAACCGAATAACATGCACCTGCAAAGCAACATATTATAATTTAAACTTCAATGAATATAACTGAGAAAATAAAAGCTGGAATAATCTTCAGCTCAAGAACATGTGTTCCACAAAGGAAACTGCATAAGGTTGATATAAAAGGTCAATGAACTCTCAAAAGCACAAGAGTCTAAGAACAATATCAATCCAATTGCAAAAAACTCACCATTGTACCACACAAACTACTTTCCATGACAAAAAGATAGCTTTTCTATTTTATTTTTATTTTATTTTTGCTCAGCAACAAAGAAAATTTCATTAAAAAGAACAAAGAAGAATCAAGTATAAGAGGGAGACAAGAAGTACACCAAGGGGAAAAAAAAAAGGAAAAGAAAAAACATACTCAAATTCTACAAATGGCGCTCCAATCCCTAGAAATTAAAAAGAGGAAACCCTTTAAAACGAGGAGCCACTGACACCCAAAAAGAAGCTCAAAAACAAATCCTTTCCCAAATGCTTTCAAAATGTTCATATCTTCCCTCAAAATTCTAGCATTCCTTCCTTTCAATCCTTAAGAGCCCACAGAACTGCACAAACCACACATTTCCAAGAGCCCTTGCCATTTGATCCAAAGCCTCTGAAGTCAAAGAAAGCAAATGCTCACAGGAAGATGAAATAACTTAAGCAGCCTCCACCAGGAAAAAAAGAAAAAGAAAAAAAATCTCCACCATAAAGAAAGAGCTAAAGGACAATGCAAGAACAGATGATCCATGCTCTCCCCAGCCCCCCTACACATAACACGCCATTATGGAAGCAAGTAACAATTTGGCCTTCTTCCTTGAACTATATCATCAGTTTTAAGCTTCATGTGAGCCAAAGTCCATGCAAACACTTTAACCTTAAAAGAAAAGTTTCTCAATTGCAACTTATCAGCTGGCACATACCATACATTATACATTAATGAAATTAGAAAACAAAAACAGAATAAAACCTTCATGTGGATTGAACTTTGAGCTTAAGACTATTGAAATACCAAAAGCAGGCTACAGCACTATTGAACATAAAAATCAATACAAGCTTTGCGCAATATCCAGTTTCTCAGAATTTTATGCACAAAACAACTATGAACTACATTTGCATCAATCTGACACTGGTTATTTCTTATTTAACTTCCATGTAATGGATTGCAGACAAGCATGGCATCACCTGAATCTCCGAGTATATTAACTGAAGAAGGAGCCTATAAACCAGCATATTCAGAAGGCACATGTCTTAATTACTAACCATTTTAGACATGAAGAATGTGCAAATAATAATAATAATAATCCGTATATACTGAAGCTCGATAAGTGGCTTGCATGAGTCCTCTCAACCAAGTGCCTTTCTCCTCCTCATCCAGAAACTCTATCACCAGGATACTAAATGATTCCAAAGCCTTCAAAAGAATAAATATATATAAGTAAAGGAAAACAAATATATTATTCACATAAATAACAGAAAAGAAGCATCAGCCCTCACCATAAAAATAAAAATTTTAAAAAACAGAACAAAAAAGGAAAAAGAAAAAGAAGAGCCCATTCAAAGAAGACAAACTAACAAATTGAGAAATACAATTGATACCCACAAACTTTAAACCCCGAGAGAAGGTTCTGATTGGTCACAAATTTGAATACTTACTTACAATATTAAGCTAGCCTAATGCACCACACCTATTTATCTTTTCACAACAACTTTCAAACAAAAAGAGTTTATAAAATTACACAACAAATAGAATGAAGTTAAAAATTAAGTAGCACAAGCGAGTACGTGAGATAACTGGTGTGCAATACGAGAGAAAACAATAGGATTAAGAAATTTAGAATATTAAAACCTTGAGTAGGAGGATACATAATGGAGAAACTTCACTTTATCCCATGTACTTTGCCCCAAAAACTCTCACCAAACTTTAAAAACCACACTTCTATTTCATATCCCAGAGACACAAAATACATTTAAGATCTCAAGAAATATGTTATGAGACCAAATATAGAAGATGAAAAGAAAGGTGGTTATCTATCATTTCCAAACCATCTTTTGAACCATCCCAATATAATTGATTTGCGTCATTGAAACAGATCTAAATAGAACTATTAAAAAGCTAACCAAGTCAGACATGTGGTGTATTGTAGGTACAAGCATCTAGCTCCACCATGTGGCATCTTTATTAACGAAGTACCATGTGTCAACATAGTGAGGTGACACGTGGGTCATTGGTACACCTTGATAGGTGCCGAAATGTACAACATAAACACAAGCTTATTACCCAAATCAAGCAAAGAGCTTAAAATGACTATATATGAAAGCATGTGAAGTAAAAATCACCATAAATTCTATCAGAAAAGATAAAATTAAAGCATACCAGAAAGGTAATAAGAGTATGATTAGTACTTAGGATATGATAAAATAAAATCAACAAAACCCACTTAAAATATAAAATATTTACCTTCTGAGTGTCCATACCCCTAACACTAACAGCAAGACAAGAGACTGAACCACCAACATTCATTGGGGGAACTTCATCTACTTGCTTGCCAGCCATGCTGCAGCAACACAAAATTTAATTTTTAAGTCAAGCATGTAGAGAGAATATTCAATTATATGGCATTCATCAAAGAGACAAGAACCTAGAAAATAACAGTAATATTTCAACAGCAGCTTAGCTGAATCTCTAATCATTCAAACAGTAGAACAGAACAAGCAGCACAAAACAAGTTCAACAAAAAAGTAAATAGGTGCACCTAGAGCATCTCTGATAGTTCTGGGACATTTCCGATTCCAACACATAAAGATATAATCCAGACAACACAATAAAACAGGGATGCCATGCAGCAACAGAATAACCAATTCCCTGAATCCAGAATACATAACAAAAGGAGATCAGATGCACTGAAAAGAGTTACAGCAGATTTGGATATCAGATGATTTTCTTTGGCACAAACATCATACTCTCCAAACAAGGATTCGAGCTTCAGTTGCAAGATCTGGGGGATTCCAAGGGAGAAAATCAGCTTGAAAATTTTCGAACTCAGGCTGACCACTACTTTGAGTTGTGCCATAGAGTATATTAAACAATTCCATAAGTCTACAATATCTGGCTGGAGAATAGTGTATGCCAAGGCTCGGCACTTGGACAGATACACGCGTTGATGGGTAACTTGGATGAGGTACTTTGATCTTCAATAAACAAACAAATGGTAAAGATTAGGACAAAATAGAGTAAACCATGATAACAGCCAGCACCCAGAATACAACCTTTACCGTGAATCAGAGCTACCTGAATTTTGATAATATATATACATAGGTACAAATACAAGCAGAAAAATTACCTGATCAACAATAACTGCCATACCACACCTATCAATCACAGACCAGAGGTTATCAGAATCTTTCAACATGGGAGATACAGGAGACACCAAAGCGCAGCTCTGACTGTCATAACCACAACCAGTAAAAAAGGCTGCTATATCTTCCAGAAATATAGAAACAAGAGTACAAACTTTTCCCCTGATCACCAAGCTGATCTCCCTGCAATGATGACCAATATATTTAAAATAAAAATATCAATGCAATACAAATACAAAGTAAAAGATTGAACTAAAGGATCATACCTTAGTATACAATGTGAAATGACCAAAATCCAAAAGAAAATGGCAATCACATTTGGAAGAACCACATGTTCTTATAGGAACTCTAACTTTTGGAGCATCAAGATCGATGTCGAGAGCAAATCTGAGAGAACAAAAAATATATATATAATAAGGATGAGAGTTAATAATGTGAAATTATTAGCTTTCCTCATTCAGCCACAATTTAGGGAAACAAAACATATGGTTGGATATACCAACAGCTCCTCATAGCTATTAACCCAGCTTAAACAACTAAATGACTAATGGTAGTTGGTGTGACCTGAAGGTTAGACAATATAAAAAGAAACTAGCACTCCAGTTAATAATGGTGCTTTAGAAACTAAATGACCAATAGCACTGCAGTATATGCAAATAGGACACCAATGATTCGCAATCATCCTGCACCTAACATTCCATAGCAATCACTTCTAAACTTCCAAAATGCCAACCATGTAAACCGGATGCTCAAATCCTAAGACCCAACACCCAAAATAAATAAATAAGAAGAAAAAAGAAAGTTAAAAAAATAAAATAAAATAAAAACTAGTAGATGTTACATGGTCTTGGGTAAAACTCAACCCCAAAGCTAGTTATTGAAGTGAGGGTGCCCTCACATTTATATGCTTAACATTACTTTAGTACTCAAGCGATGTGGTTAAAAATAAAACAAAATAAATAAATAAATAGGAGACATGTCCCTGTGAGAATATATTTGTCTATATTGTGAGAATATATTTGTCCCTGTGGACCAATTTTTCATGAGTCTGTTTCCTCTTGTCCTCTTGCACCCCCTCTTGCCCCTTCGTCTCCTCCGTTGTTAGTCTATTCTCGTCGCAAGGCTCTCTCTCCACCGGTTGTCTCTGTCCTGCTGCTGATCTCCTTACTTCTGACGACTCTGATCTTACCCATCGTAAGTATCCCCTTCGCAGCTGTAAACAAGTAATTAAACTTGGTTTTGCTAAAACATATTTTTTTCCTTTCTACTGCACCTTTTTGTCTGCTATTCACTCTTTTTCAGAACCCCAATCTTACAAGGAGGCCTGTCAGGATCCTAATTGGATTCAAGCCATGGAGGATGAGTTGTCTACATTGCAGAAAACTACTACTTGGGAGCTGGTTCCTTTGCTTACTAGTAAGAATTAGGTTGATTGCAAATGAGTCTATAAAGTCAAGACTCATTCTTATGGTTCTCTCGAGCGCTACAAAGCACGCCTAGTTGCTAAAGGTTTCTCCCAGCAGTATGGCATTGATTATGAGGAAACTTTTGCCCCTATTGCCAAGATGACTACTGTCCACACTTTGATCTCTGTCGTTGTTGTTCGTCATTGGCCTTTTTATCAGATGGATGTTAAGAATACATTTCTTAATGGCCATCTCATTGAGGAGGTTTACATGCGTCCTCCCCCAGACCTTTCGCATTCCTCTGGACAAGTTTAGCGACTTCGCCGTGCTCTGTATGGTTTGAAGCAATCTCCTCATGCTTGGTATGATTGCTTTCAGATTGCTGTTACTAAACTTGGATTTCATCCTTGTGCCCCTGACTCTGCCTTGTTTCTCCTCCACACCTCTACTAGTTTTGTTGCCCTCATATTGTACGTGTGAGGACAAGCAGCATCTCTTCTGCACCTTCGAAATGAAGGATTTGGGCCTATTGCAGTATTTTCTTGGCAATGAGGTAACTTCTTCTCCCAATGGCTACTTTCTGTCTCAGGCCAAGTATGCCAACGAGATTATTCATCGTGCCGGTCTTACTGACACTAAGTTTTCTGATACCCCCATTGAGCTTAATGTGAGGCTCAACACTACTGATGGTGTTATTTTGGAAGATCCTACTTTATATCGAGAGCTTGTAGTTTGCTTAGTCTATCTGATGGTTACTCGCCCTGATCTTGCCTATGTTGTCCATGTGGTTAGTCAATTTGTTTCTGCTCCTCGTTCTACACAGTGGGCTGCTTTAATTCAGATTCTTCGCTATCTTCGTGGTACTACCTTTCAAGGCTTGCTCTTATCTTCTACTTCTTCCTTGGACTTGGTGACCTATGCTATACTGATTGGGCTGGTGATGTTAATGATCGCAAGTCCACTTCTGGTTTCTCTATGTTTCTTGGCAATTCCCTGATTTCTTAAAAAATGGTGGTAAGTTGGAGGCCCACAAAAGGAAATGCGTAATTAAATCTTGGACTTTACTCATGACCCTTAAAAAAAAAAAAAAAAAAAAAAAAAAAAAAAAAAAAAACCAGGGACCAAAGCAAAGAAATAATCCCATCCAAGACCTAAAGATCATCCAGATAGAAGTACCAAATTGTCGTGACTCGCACAATTAAGAAAGTTCACTTGTGCAAGTCACGAGGGGCATTTGTTGGCACATAAATTTCAACTAAATTTATGACACGTATAGAGCCTATGATAGAAAGGTTGTAGGTAATCACTTCCTAAAAAAAAAAGATCAATATGATCCGTTGAAGTACATAAATAAAACGACGTTGTATCTCAACGACGTTATTCAAGATGCTCACGTGACACGTGGAGCCTACGAAAGATGACACCTGTAGAGCCTACAGCAAGGACACCACACAGGATGAAACCTCAAAGATCAATCCGGTTAATAAGATATACGATTAATCAGATAGCGCTATTATTCAAAATTCAAATGGCACTATCATTCAATTTGAAATTCAAATTGAAGATGAAGCATTCCTATCACCTGATGGCCCTCCATAAATATGAGGACCATCACACAAGACAGGGGATCAAAAAATCAGAAGTGAAAAGATCAGAGAGAGAGAGAGAAATTGAGAGCTAAAGAAATCGTTACAAGAAAGAAGAAGAGAAGCCTAGAGAATTCGAGAGCCTATGCTAATGGCGATGAATAGGTAAAGAGTTCCAAACCCAAGAATTGTATTTTGTATTTGAGGGTTCAAAACCCATAACAATCTCAATAAAATATTTATTTTATTTTCTTAAATTGTCTTTTGTTGTTTATTTTGTTCTTCATTAATCGGAGGTTTCATTTGTATAAAATGTGTAATTAACGATCTGAAATACAGATCGGAAATAAGAACCTGCTATTCAAATAATCAACACTGTTTCGTCCAAAAACTAAACAATGGACATTTGTAACATAAAATTTTGAAATGTGTTGAAACACTTCATGTTTTAAAATTTGTGTCTACAGGCATGTGTTGCAAGTGAATAATCCACCTAAGCCATTTTCTCTCAATAGTACAACCTTCAACTCATCATAAATGCAACAAGATTTATTCTACACTTCTTTGTCCCATCACGCATCCATCTCAACATCCAATGTATGAAATGCTTGTACTTTATGGGCACTTCCCTCTTTTTGTTCAAGAATTGACAGTGCCTAAACATTGGAACAGTGAAATCTACAGACTAGACTTCTTATCCATCCAGCACAAAACAAGTTTGAATTCACAAGTATAATATAAAGGCATCTAAGGAATCCATATGGATAACAATTGAGATGAAGAGAGCAGTTAAGACATGTCATCCTTGACCACAAACACATCAAACCAAACAATTTGAGTCTTAACTTTATGACCTCATAAGGCAAAATATACAGATATTTACACTCCAGTTTCTACTAATGAATGGTCATAATGGTCATTATATAACATAAGACACAACAAAAATTTTAATACACAGGTGATAAGAATGAAATTTTGTTTGGTCAAAATCCAAACAACTAAATGGATAATCAAAGCAAGAAAGACTTAGAAAATATGAGGAAGAAGAACTCCGAAAATATGAGGAAGAAGGAATATATTTCTGTTATATTCAAAACTTCTTATCTTACAAGACCAAATGACACTCCTTATATAGGAGATATTACAAACATCATTATAACCCATTATATGCCACTTACATATTATATATTACCACTATCTACCACTATCATATTATATACATGCCATTATCTACCACTAACACCACTATCATATTCTATACATGCCACTATCTACCACCAACACCACTATCATATTCTATACATTAACTCAAATTTCCAGCACTCCCCCTCAAGCTGGTTTGAAGATATCTTCCATAGCCAGCTTGCTAGTCAGCTTATCAAATTGCTTCTTGTGTAGTCCCTTCGTTAGCACATCAGCTAATTGTTCACCTGTTGGAAGGTAGGTCATACAGATTATGCCAGCATTGATTTTCTCCTTGATGAAATGTTTATCCACTTCTATATGTTTTGTGCGATCATGTAGAACTGGATTATGAGCTATAGATATAGCTGCTTTGTTGTCACAATAGACCTTCATAGGTGTCGGGTGAGAAAGCTTTAATTCTTCAAGAATTCTTTTAATCCACATTACTTCACAGATTCCATGGGCAACAGCTCTGAACTCTGCTTCTGCACTACTTCTAGCTACCACATTCTGTTTTTTACTCCGCCATGTAACTAGGTTCCCACCTACAAAGGTGCAGTATCCGGATGTTGATCTCCTGTCTGTAACACTTCCTGCCCAGTCTGCAATGCCATTTTGTTGAGGGGTATCCCGACATGTAGTCTATGCTCCAGCGGGGACCTTATTTTCAGAAAATTTGCCTAAGTGTTCCAACTCATGTTTTGGCATCCTCATTGCATCTTAGGCATTCCTAAGGCCTAATTAAGCTTTGATAATAAGGTTATGGATTAGAAACACACTAAGTGAAGAATGTACTGAGTTCCGAGACTACAAGTGTGTGTGTGTTTTAGGCAATGTGATAAGAAAGAATAAGAACCAATGTAATGAAAGCTAAGCCTTAATGGCCACTTGAATATGTAATGATAAGACATGCTTGTGTTATGTATTTTGTGATTGTAGGTCAAGACTCGAAGATTGATTGACCGCTTATTGGAACCACTGTGAGTAACGTTATCGTAAAGATACGTTTATATGAAATTATGTTCCAAATGAAATGTGATAAGGTATGATTTCTGAAATGATATCTGTTTTCGTGAACGAATAGTCTATGTTTGAAATCTATTATGGCATCCATAGATAGTCCCAAGTGATGGGGGACGGCATAAAAATGCGGGTCCATGACATACAAGTAATTACGAGATCTCGTTAGCCACTTCATTGTAGTGATATGTGTTTAATCGGTATTCGGAACCAGTTACTCTAGTCGGAAGACGTTCTGTAATGTGTTCTATGGGATGTACCATTATTATGTTCTGATATGAGAATGATTATGCTATGACCTGTTTTCTGCTTATGATATGTTCAGATTTCGTTCACTAACCTCTTTACCTTAATGTTATTCAATGGGCTTTAGCTCACTGTTTGTATATATATATGTATAAGTGAGCATTCTGGAGTTCAAGTTTGGAGACTTTTTATCTGGATCTGTGTTCTGTCGTCAGCCAGCCATTGTGCCTCACGTAGAGGTTCCCGAAGTGTCCTGTGTTCAAGTTCTGTTGGTCCTGTGTATATATATGACTTGATATAATTCTGTTGGCTGTACTTCAGATACTTTAATGTGTGTGGGTATAATGTATGATTGACTTTTGACTGTGTATATGAAGTTTTAAATATTTTGTTTCATATAAGTCAGCATAACTCATTGGACAACTATATTTATGTATTTGCTTCCGCTAGCCCCTTATTATATGCTTATCTGTTCAGAGGCCTTCGATAATCCAAGGATTACTGGCCGGTTACGATGCTAAACCTATAGGGGCGGGTTTGGGTCGTGACACATCGATATTTCTTATAACCCTTCTATTGAAAATGTTTTACTTGTTGATGGACTTAAGCATAACCTACTTAGTATTAGTCAATTATGTGATAAAAGTAATCGAGTTATTTTTGATAAATCACATTGCACAATTGAAAACACAAATGATCATAAAGCTTTATTCGTTGGTAATCGCCATGATAATATTTATGTTTTTCATCTTATTAATGATCTCTATACTAGTGATGTTAAATGTTTATATGTTAATAATGAAAATAGTTAGTTATGGCATAGAAGACTTGGTCATACTCATATGAATTTAATTACTAAACTTTTAAGAAAGGATTTGGTCATTGGACTTCTAAAAATTAAATTTGAAAAAGATTATCTTTGTAGTGCTTGTCAACAAGGAAAACAAACTAAAACATCATTTAAATCAAAATCTCATATTTCCACAACTAGACCTTTACAACTATTGTATATGGATTTATTTGGTCCCTCAAGGGCATCTAGTCTAGGTGGTAAACATTATTGTCTTGTTATAGTTGATGATTATTCAAGATTTACATAGGTTATGTTTTTAGCACACAAAGATGAAACATTTTATTCTTTCACAAAACTCTGTCGTTGAATTCAAAATAAAAAAGGCTTTCTTATTACTAATATTCGAACCGACCATGGTAGAGAACTTGAAAATGAGAAATTTGAATTGTTTTGCGATGAGCATGGTATTGGACATAAATTTTCAGCACCTAGAACCCCTCAACAAAATGGTGTAGTAGAAAGGAAGAATAGAACTTTAGAAAAGATGAGTAGAACAATGCTTTACGAAAATAATCTTCCTAAATATTTTTGGACCGAAGCCGTTCACACCGCATGCTATATTTTAAATCGTGCATTGATCAGACCTATTCTCAAAAAGACTCTTTATGAACTTTGGCATGATAGAAAGCCCAACATTAGTCACTTGCATGTTTTTGGTTGTAAATATTTTGTGCATAATAATGGTATGGATAACTTAGGTAAATTTGATTCAAAATCTGATGAAATAATTTTTCTTGGCTATTTCTTAACTAGCAAAGCTTATTGTGTTTTTAATAAAAAGAACTCTTGTTGTGGAAGAATCTATACATGTGGCATTTGATGAAACTAACATCTCTGCTCAAAAGCAAATTGTTAGTGATAATATAGATTTGGAACCAAATGTGGAAGATTCAAGTATCTACAAAGAAGAGAATCAACCATGTAAGTTGAATAAAGAGATTGAACAACCTATTCTCCCACCTCAAGAAGAAGGAGGAAACAATGATGATTTTCTAAGAGAATGGAAGTTTGTTCATAATCATCTTGAGGATTTAATCCTAGGTGACCCTACAAAAGGTATCGAAACTCTCTCTTCACTTAGAAACATTTGTAGTAAACTAGTTTTTC